GAGGTGGCTGGGGAGAGGGAGGTCTGGGCCTCTTTGCTTAGGCTGCTGCCCCCGCGACCCGGCCTCGGATAAAGCGGATGAAGATGGATGGATGGATGGTAACTGATTAGCAAATCAAATTTTTAATGCCTTTTATTAGAGCACATATTCTGAGATATTCTGAGACAGTACTAAACATAATCGCTGAAGGTAGCAGATTACATTTTTGCTTTCTTTAACATCATAAAAAGACCAAGTAGAAGCACAAACTCATCCCATCCTAACACACTGTCTTAATATTTAAATTCAAGCCTGGCTTTCATTAATACACTATCCGGTATCGCTCTCCCACCTCCTCAACTTCTGCTCCTTTCTGTCACACGTTTCTGTAGCACATCGGATCATGCATAAATTCCCGGAGAGGCTTTGCCCAAGGGAGGGGAGTACTGTACACACACACACACACACACACACACACACACACACACACACACACACACACACACACACACACACACACCAGACATTTCTGCCCGAGGTGAAGTGGAGTAGAGGTCAGCTGGTCTCTAGACAAAGTGAAATAAGAATATTATCCTGAGCATGTGATGCTGCGTGAGATCACACACTTTTCAGAGGACAGCCCCCTAAAACAGCTCAATGAGTAGGCAGAGAACAAGGGGCTGTTGGCTGGGTGTATGAGTGTAAGGGTTGAGGGAGGTTTGGTAGCTAGTTAGATGGTAGGTTAGAGGAGTAGATATTACAAAACAGAAAAAAGGGGGGGAAACAGCAAAAGTTGGAAATGTGTGAGCCTGTATTTCTCTGCTTAACTGGAAGTGACTTTTTGTAAGTGAATCTATTTGCTGGTGCTGCTTTTTGCTCTCCCTAACCTTCTGTGAGGACAAGAGGTTCTCACAATTTTAACAAGAATCTATATTCCCCCTGAGTGGAGTGCCTTTGACTTTTCACCATGAGAAGACTGTGTATGTCTTTAGTTTTCTTACAGCTGATTGGGGCTTGTGTAAGCCAGTTTCCTCGCCCTTGTGCCACTTCAGAAGGACTGCGGACCAAAGAGTGCTGTCCATTGTGGGATGGCGATGGCTCAGCCTGCGGTGCCCTGTCAGGCCGCGGTTTCTGCACAGACGTGGTCATTTCAGACGAGCCACATGGACCCCAGTACCCTCACAGTGGGATCGATGACAGAGAGCGTTGGCCTTTAGCTTTCTTCAACCGGACGTGCCGCTGTGCTGGAAACTATGGAGGTTTTAACTGTGGCGAGTGTAGGTTTGGTTACTGGGGTTCAAACTGTGCTGAGTACAGGGAATCAGTGCGCAGGAACATCCTGACTATGTCGACTGCTGAACAGCAGAAGTTCATCTCCTATCTGAACCTGGGTAAAAACACCATCAATCGTGACTATGTCATCGCCACTGGCACAAGGGCACAGATGGGAGAAAATGGTGAGAACCCCATGTTCTCTGACATCAACACCTATGACCTTTTTGTGTGGATGCACTACTATGTGTCCCGAGATGCCCTCCTGGGAGGACCAGGGAATGTATGGCAAGATATCGATTTTGCTCATGAATCTGCAGCATTTCTGCCCTGGCACAGAGTCTTCCTGCTTCACTGGGAGAATGAGATCAGGAAGCTAACAGGAGATTTTAATTTCACCATCCCATACTGGGACTGGAGGAACTCCCAGACCTGTGACGTGTGTACCGATGCCTTGATGGGTGGACGCAACTCCCTTAATCCCAACCTCATCAGCACTGCCTCTGTCTTCTCATCATGGAAGGTAAGAAAAATTGATCCTCATGCCCTGGGTTTCAGTGTGTCTTAGAGTGGAAATACCCATATTTGATTATATGTGGTCCTTTAAACAGTTTTTATACATTAACTCACTGAAAGCTCATTTTCTTGTAAAAACAAGCCCACAGGATTAAGTTGGTTCATCCTGTTAATCCAACTATTTGAGAGATTTTTATGTTAAAGTTGTGATTTTTGAAAGCAGCATTGTTCTGAATACTCAGAGAGTTCCATTAGTTTTCACTAATGCCTATTAATGCCCATTTACTATTTGTAAGAAAGCCATATTAAAGCCTTATGGAGGCCCGCAGGTTTGTGAGCTATAACAGCCCGAGAAACATGTATGTTTACACTTTTGCATTTATACATTTGTATAGGTTATCTGCACCCAGTCAGAGGAGTATAACAGCCGAGAAGCATTATGTAATGCCACGGGGGAGGGTCCATTGTTACGTAATCCCGGCAACCATGATACCAATCGTGTGCAACGACTTCCCAATTCAGATGATGTGGAGTTCGCTGTGGGCCTCCCCGAGTACGAGACAGGACCCATGGACCGATTTGCCAACATGAGCTTTAGAAATGTCCTAGAGGGTAGGAGTGAGAGGCAGACACGCACATACATTTGTTTTAGTCCTCTCTTCTTTCATGTTTAATCACCAAAGTTCAGCTTAATCTTACTAAGCTTGTGAATGAGCACTGGCACATTGGAAACACAAAAGGTAGATACAAACCAGTGTGTGTACAAGGAATTGCAAACTCTAATGCAGACATCGACACTAAAACCTGCTAGTTATTTTATGTGTTTATTGTTGGAGTTTAACACATCCTGCACACGTTATATCATTAGACATGCTTCCAGTTTTGTTGTAAATCACAGGCTGCCCCTTAAGCTGAGTCCTGAATTAAATTACATCAAGTGCATTTGAACGAGGTGTGAAAGAGGACATTCTTTCATCAGGACATCAATTCTGTTAAAACTTCAAATGTATTTAATATGAAAATGATTCCCCCGTTGTCTCAGAGAACTTTTGAAATTAATTATAATAAATTACATTTTTTGGTCGCACAGGTGAGCTGTAAGACTTTTAAGTCGTAATATATCTCAGTTCCTTCTCATTTTTGTTCCACCAAGCTCACGTTTTTCTCTGCACAAACACTTTTCTCATATAAACCTACAAACTGTTTACTACTAAATTCATCCCTGAGTGTTATCTTCCTGTGTAAACATTGTTGCCATTCCTGTATCATGCACCTTCTGCAGGTTTTGCAAGTCCACAGACGGGTATGGCCGTGTCAGGCCAGAGCACCTTGCACAACGCCTTGCATATGTTCATGAACGGTTCCATGTCATCAGTACAGGGTTCAGCTAATGACCCAATATTCCTGCTACATCATGCTTTCATTGACAGGTATAGTAACACTTATCCACCCATATTATTGGCAAAAGGTAAACTGCACACACTGGGTGTAATGCAGTGAGAAAGATAAAAGTAGCGAGACCTAGAGAAGATGTAAGGATGCATAGGTTGCATATCACGTAGAATCATGATATATATTCAATTTTTTCATGTAGTTTTTTCTTTCTGTCCCTTTTCTCTTCTTATTCACTTCTTCTCTTCATTAGTATCTATGAGCGCTGGCTCAGGAACCACCAGCCTCCACGAAACAGCTACCCACGCACCAATGCCCCTATTGGTCACAATGATGGCTATTATATGGTTCCCTTCCTGCCTCTTTATAGAAACGGAGATTATTTCCTGTCCAATAAGGCTCTTGGATATGAATATGCCTATCTGTTGGACCCAGGTCAGTGCATAACTGTAAGCATATCTCCTAAATGGCCTTTTCTTTAAGCTTTACTGTCCTATCCTATCTGTCTCACCATAGGTCAGAGGTTTGTTCAAGAGTTCCTGAACCCCTACCTCCAGCAGGCACAACAGATCTGGCAGTGGCTCGTGGGTGCCGGGATTCTGGGAGCTCTGATTGCTGCAATCATCGCAGTAATCATTGTTTTTGCAAGACGGAAATGGAAGCGCAATCAGAGGAAGAAGAGAGCATCAAGCTACGGGGAGAGACAGCCATTACTGCATAGCAGCTCAGAGGAAGGATCATCTTCATATCAGACCACTCTGTAACACAGGTACTGCACAACCCTGTGATGGTTATGAAGCCAATTAAAAACAAGAATCTGATTATGTTTTTTAAAATATAGTCATGTACAGATGAGCCAGTGAAGCAACTTTTTAAAAAAAGGAAAATACAGTTCATCCAAACAAGAAAAAACATATTTACACCTCAGTGTCTTGCAGGTATCTACTATGGAATCAACAGAAAGGAAGTGGGTAGTGGTGATAGCACTGATAAATCACTGATATGTTAGCAACATAGCTGTCCGTGCAGACAGTTACAGGTTTTAAAAATAACTTTACATGGATTTGCAGGATTTGTCTAATCTAATTAGGGTAGACAACAAGAAGCAACCTCCTTTGCATTAGCGTGATGGGGACAGGTGAACCAAACCTTTAAGATTTGAGACCATTTAAAAAGAGACTATGAGCAAACAGCAGGGAGCTGCCGCTAGGAGGATCACCTTAAAATGTTTTGCATTCAGTCGGCACACATTCGGAATAGAAAAATTATTTTGGGATTCCTTGAGGAAATAAGGCTCAAAGTAGTTTTTCTGATGTAGTTTTAACTTCCAGGGTTTTGTGAAATATGCAATAAATGTAAAAAATGTACATTAACCACTGTTGTGAGTTTAGTTTGAGTGGTTAAAAATATGATTTCAGAGAAAACAATGACTAAATTTCTAATGTGCTAATGTGTGTATTTGAACTGATGCTAAAAGACAGCGTGCAGTTTTTCTTGCAATCCTCTCACAAGCAAATTAACTGTAGTTGTTACAGTGATTACAAAGATGAATCACGAGTTTGTACATGCTTCATTAAAAATCCAACTTGATGCAAATTTGCTGCCTATTTTTTATGCAATAATGTTGATAATCACTTTTAAAAATAACTAGGAGATTGTGTATTTTACAGCATGGTGGCAGAAATCTGCATGTAATGCTGATTGACTGGGCTGTTCAGTTACTGCACTGCAGTGCGATGTTTGAGTGGTCATTACGACTAGAAATGTGTAGTTTCAATTATAAATAAATGTAAAACTAAATCACTCAATGATTGAAAACAGTACATTTAATAAAGATGTAATAAATATAAACCATTTATTTCATACTTGTGCCAAAAAAGAAAGTTGATCTTAAAGATTTAGATAAATGTCAACAATTTCAAATTATAATTACAACGTTTACTCAGTTGATCAGAAAAAAATCAAGATGTTTATTCTTTGTAGAAACCTCCAGTCTCCAGTTTGTGGCATTCAAAAAAAATCAGAGGTTTTAAACATGACAAATACTAAAGTAAACCAGTAAATCATCATAACCTGAAATATGCTTCCGTTATATACCTGTGAGTAGACTCAGTAAAGATTGCCAAAATCCTGCAAAACCTTGACATGTCAAATTGTACATTTATTTTAAACAATATAAATAAAGTAAGCAACAAAAAAAAAAGTAAAAAAAAGCTTGAGGTGTAGTGGTGTGTAAAGACTGCATCATCGTGTGCCCATTTTTAAACCACACTGCCTCAGACTCTGAGATAAGTGTTGTAATACTTTTTTCTGCCTCTTAGTTTTGTCAAATGTCACACTTCCCTCCAGGCTGTCTACAAATCCTTCCACAGTGAGAGAAACATACAGACCCGTAACAATCTGCAGAGACCTAAAATCCTTGCCCCCTTTTCTGAGCGTTTAAATCTAACATGCATGCTAAACATACACTGCTTGACAATTTTCTTCGACCATCGCCCCAGTGTAAATTTAGCCCACAGTTGCCCTAAATTAACAGTACTGGTAATTACTAAAATCATTTTTATGTTGCTGTAATAGTTGATTCACCAGTATGCACATGTTCTTTAATAGAAATACCTTTAATGCTAAAATATAATTATTGTTATTATCCATTCATTTTCAGGTTTACTGCTTTACAAAAGTATGAAAAAATAGTAAAGCACATTATTAATATTATTATTTGAGTACGATACCAAATTACACTTAATTACCTGAACAGAGAAATCAGTTTCAGTGGTTTAATGTCTAATAAATTTGTTAAGCACTGTATTTGAAGAATGTGATCATCATTTAGTCAGCGTTCATCGACAAATCCAGGGTAATTACAACTTGGTAATAAGCAAGAATTAAGAATGTGTGAGCAGTATATTTTAGATGCTGACAAAACAAATGTTGGGCCAGTTGATTCTGGATGTAGAAGATATCCATATATTTTGGATATTTAGAACTAGGTGGGGGCTTGGCTCTTAAGTCTCTTAATACTGTGATAAGATCACGGTGAGTCACACCTTTTTCCTCACACTCGACTCCAACATGAGAATGCAATTTTACTCCACAGAGGGGTGCAACAGGGCAGGGATGATACAGAAGCTTCGGGAGACTCCAAGCTTTTCTCACATGTTGATTGGGTCACAAACCAAAGTCGAAGCTTATTTAAAGCACCCAACAGGCTGTTTCGATGTGCCAGACCTTTAGAAAACATGTACAGAGATTGAATATAAATAGTCTATCATTATTTAACTTTACAGTCAGTATTTATATCAAATGAAAATCCATCCAAGATTTTTTTAAGCAACCATGATTGTCCAAAGGTACTAAGAACTTTAATTTAACTAAAAACTTTTCCCATGATTGAATGAGAAGCCATCTACCCCAAAGTAGATGACTTCTACTGATATGCCCTGACAGTGTAGCACCAGCTCTAAAGTTTAATCAGCTGAACGACTCTTTGTTGAATTCGAATGTTGTTCCATTGTATTGAGGTGAGTTACACAGTCGGTGGAGAGTCCTGGAGATGCCCTTCGGTCCGCAGCAGAAAACACCAACACGTTTACTGAAACCACAGAGAAATCAATTTTAACAACAATGTTATATACACGTTTCTACAGCTACGAGACTCACTGGATAGTCCCACTGTACTCACTGTTTGTTGGATTTTTCAATTTCATCAAAGAGTAACTTCCACCTGGGCCGACCAATCTGCATCCTTGATGTGAGTGGGCGGTACTTCTCCTCAGACATGCTCTGCAAAAAAAGTATAAAAAACTAGGATGCTTTGAATTCACATTTGCATTAGATGTTACATAAAGTTAATGCTATTACTACTACAGAAAAAAACATAACAAAGAAACATTTATACTGTTTATGAGAAACATTTTTTGTTTGAGACTTCTATCAGATAAAGTGTACATCTCTCTAAATCAAAAAAGTGAAAAAGTCTGTTTTTTTCTCCTATTTTCTCCTAGAGGCTAAAAGAATGTGGTATCTAATTTAAGGGCCACCAGTGCTGGACATAGCTGTGTCAGTCTACTGTTAGTAGAGCAAAGGAAATTTAGTCACAAAAAGGTGAATGTAAATGAAATGGGAATCAACCAATAAACTGGCTGGTTTGGTGAACCTTAACACAGTTGGAAATTTGGAGCTTTTGGACATTTATTTTATTTTTATTGCAAAAAAGGGCAATTCAAATGCAATCTGCGTCCAGGACCGCAACAACCACAGTCCACAGTAATGTAAAGAGTAGTTTAACAAATTACTTTCTTGGCTAAGTAGTTAAATAATGTATCCTGTTATTTTTGAGAAAAGCAATGAATAATGTGCCAAACATTTTTGAGTAACCCCAAGGCTGATGGGAACACCCAGCGATGTTGTGTGATGCTAAACGGATAAAAAGTCGTCGTCTCCCCGTCGGGGAATCGAACCCCGGTCTCCCGCGTGACAGGCGGGGATACTAACCACTATACTAACGAGGAGATAGCAAGAATTCGGCGTATGCCATACAAAAACAGAAGTCGGTCATTGTGACGTTATGCCTATTTGTAATGTATATTTATGTCAATAAGTCCATTGTATGTCCCGTAGCGGACACGGCTAGCTTCAGAATCGAGGGCTAACTACTTCCTGTTATACGTCTTTGAAGCTCGCCGCTCGGGCCGCACGCTTAGTTTCTATACGGTAATGTAAATTCTCGGTGGACAAGTCACCGAGGTCACAAAATTTTAAAAAAATGAATGAAGTAGGTGCTCGGACCAGAGAGGACCCCAGAGGACTCGAGGCTCCGGACAGTTTAAAATAAGCAAGGGTCCGGTTGGGTCCGACTGACGTAAACTTCGTAATCAGACGTCCACCGCGAGAGTCGCACGAATACGTTCAAAACTCCTCAAAATGTTTTCGATAAACTAATATAACAGAATTATTTTTTTTCTATATTGGTTGGCTGTTACATTTCCTAGAAGAACAAAAGCTTTTGCTTTAATGGAACAGTCTGGAAAACATGCAACAGATACACTTTAAACTGTGCGCTGTAGCTTCTCTCTGTTTGTAAAGCACCGCCCTCTAGTGGGTGGAGTTCTTAAAATCTAACAAAAGATAAACCGAGAAGAGCAAGTGACAATGAAATACAATAAAATTACAAGATTAGCAAAGAGAAACACTGGTGTGTGTGTGTGTGTGTGTGTGTGTGTGTGTGTGTGTGTGTGTGTGTGTGTGTGTGTGTGTGTGTGTGTGTGCCACAATTACCTGCAAGCTGTCTGGTTGACTGATATACAGTTTCAGATTAAAGTAGTCCGGTCTGTTTTCGTTCCAGAGCTAAATGAAAAACATGGTTTGTAGTGTTGCTGATGTGTATTTGATTTCATTCATAAAGTACGATACAGGATATAAATGCAGCATTTATTTTCTAGATTTTTCTGAAATACAGAAGCAGAGGCGAGACTACAAACAGCCTCAAGACTGTGTGAAACCCAGCAAACAAAAAACAGAGGCTTTTTGCTCAAGTCTACAACTTCTGCTGTCTCACAGACACATACACCTCTGACCTTCGTCTGCCGAATGCCACAAACATTTAGAAAACTTGAATTATAGCTTGCCATTTAATTCCAGCATGATTCATATAACATGAAGGTTCTAACAGCCAGAGTTTGTCCTGACCTTGCGATGCAGAGCACACAGCAGCTCTGCGAACCAGTAAAACGACTGGAGTTCCTTGCAGACCCACACAAAATACAACCTCTGCAACCTGAAACCCATCCAGCCATCACTAGGTGTACAGCAGGAAGGAAGGAAGAAGTCCATTAATAAATGCCCAGTCTGTGCATCATTTATAAGCATATAATATATTTTTGTAAGAACTCACAGCAGCGCCCGCAGCACACAGGCGAACGGGGTGACTCCTATTCCGCCGGCAACACAAAGACTGACATCATAGTTGAATACCTCTTCTGACGGACCTCCAAATGGCCCATCAACATAAACTCTGAACATACAATGTGGACAAAAAAAACAACAACACAAAGAAAACAAAAGATCGTTGGTTGAGAAGCTACCAAGATAAATATACACATATGCAATTATATTTCTCCCTTGGGTCAAACACACATAAACATCCTGCATTTGAAATCCTAGTCTGGGTGCAGTTGTGTGTGTGTCTGTGTGTGTGTGTGTGTGTGTGTGCGTGTGTCTGTCTGTCTGTGCTCTGGTGTGTGTGAACTGACAAATAGACAGCAATCCCCCAAATACATAAATATCTCCACAACAGCTGCTCGCTCTCTTGTGTGATCAAGAATACACACACAAAAAATTAGACACAAACTTAACTCAATGTAACACAGAATACTGAGAAGATATCACACATGAAACTACATAAAAGATAAATAACATGAGGGCCATCCATATGAGGCGTGGTTTGTGAGGTTTGCCATTACTGTCACATAATCATGAATACAGGAATCTGTAACACTTCTGAAATATTTATATTCATGGTCAAAATATATTCCATTATTTTTAAAAAAATGAAATTTGTTCCAACACAGGAGACCAAGGGGGTTTGGGCCTTTGATGGTTTGTTTAACTCATCTGACTGTCTATCAAACACAGAGCAGGAAGAGCACTGAGTCAGAGGTCAAAAGGTTGAAACCTTAAGCCATTCTGGGATTCTGAGCCTTCATGAGAAATCAAGTCAGCCACATTATTTAAGCAGACACACACAGAAACGTACTTGGGGTATCTCCTCTTTTGGGCCATGGGAAGGATCTCCATGTCTATCCTTGGCTCAGGAAGCAGCAGCTGTGTGAATCGTTCTGAGGACAGAGGAGAGGAGATCGTTTCAGGCATGGTGTGATTTGTGAAAAAACCAGAGGGATCTCCTAATGGTCACATATACTCTCAAGCCTATTAGAATATTTAGATACATAATGCTTCTGTCAATGTAACTTCCATCTATTCATTTTCTACTGCTTATCTGGGTCCAAGTTGCAGGGGCATGAGTCTGAGCAGAGAATCCCAGACTTGCATCACCTCAGCCTCCTGCAGCTCATCCAGGGTGACACAGAATTGTTTCCACGCCAGCTGTGAGATGTAATCTCTCCAGCGAGTCCTGGTTCTGCCCCAGGGGTCTCCTCTCACTAGGACATACTACAAATACCTCACCTGGGAGGCGTCCAGGAAGCATCCTAGTCAGATCCCTCAACTAACTCAGCAGACTCTTTTCGATGTGCAGGAGCAGCAGCTCTATTCTGACGCCCTCTAAATTGTCCGACCTCCTCATCCTGTCCCTTCGAGTCCCTTGAAACCCTTATATTGATGATATGATTATTATTCCTTGTAATGCACTAATATCCTTATTCTTTCACCGATTTATTCAAAAACTGAGAAAAAGAAGGCAGAAATGGACAAGAGGAATCAATGGTTGCAATAGTTGTTAGTTTAAGTTGCAGGCTGCGTCAAGGTGACGTGTTCTTACATTTCCAAGGAGTTGCACGTCAGATTAGGTTGCAGGTAGGGTTATAGGGTTTTAGAAGTGTTTGCAGTTACAAAGTAGCTACGGCATGAATTTCCTACTGAAGCATAAATTCCCAGTAAGAGTTCATAAATTTTTGAAAATTAATTGGCCTGTAACACATTTCCAGCATCATAGGCTACAGGTCCTAACTCATGAATGTCAGTACTGATCTTTCCACTCAAAAACACACTTTATAGCTGCAGGATGTGGCAGACAGCAGTCCTGGTGCAAAGCTGCAATTCAACAAGTTAAAAAAATATGCACATCTCACCTTTGTGGGGAATTCTCAAATGAACAATCAGACAAGCATATATTTCTAGAAATTATTTATGAGTCTGCTGTTGCTCTGAATATGGTTCATTTGTCTTTTATTTAGTTAGTATTAATTTTTACTCTGAATGGATGGTGCTGATTGGCCTACTGGAATGCTGGAAAGTGACAGGCAGTGTCATCTGTCACTGATCATAAGTACTGAAAATGAAAATACATTTCTGATTTTGTTCTTGTTCCCATTATAGACCGTTTTCAGATGTTGACACACACATACCTGGGGAGGTTAAAAATCGAATTACTCATGTACTCCATGTCAGGACTAATGAGCTGCAGTACTCATTGCATCACGTTAGTGTTTATCCTCAGCGTGCCTAAATTTCAGAAACAACTAATGACTGCAACGTAACCTCACATATGCCACATATCAGTACAAAGCCCCATCAGTCATCCTTTTATGATATTAAATATAACCAGAAAAAAATGCAGAGTTGGAGGATACAAGATAAACAAACAAAAATACACTGATGCGGGACAAAAAGGCTGAGGGAGAAGCTTGTGCTCAAAAGATCAAAATGCTTAGAAAAACCTTATATGGAGCTGCTTCAAAATAAATCTAGCAACAGTATCTATATGTGATATATGTCCCAACACTGGTCATGAGCAATGCAACTAAAAGTACAGATATCGTTACCATGCAGAGATGTAGGCCCTTTCAGTACATCATTTCTGTCCTTCTCATTTCATCCTGTCATCCAGGATGATTAACTTCCCTTGGTGTGTATTAGGGTGTGTACCAAAGCAAGTGGAAAGGACAGTAAGTGTTTTAGCCAGAACTTCCACTAAAAGATATTTCCTTAAAGTTGGCTGCATGGTAACCAGTCCCTTTTCCTGAACAGACTGCACATACTGTGTCCAAATGACATCAAGTCCTCGTTCTGGTTTTATTAGTTAATGGAGTTCAAGAATGGTAAAAACTGCATTCTTGCCATTTTTAACATTCTTGAACTCCATTAACTAATGTGTCATCTAGGAAGATGATGAACCTGTGGGAACAATCTTGGCCTTGAGGTAAAGAAGGAGTCTTGCACACTCTCACTCACACACACAAGGAGAAAAAAACAGGGGATGATTACACACATCAGAATGCAGCTCTTCAGAAATGTGTCCTCAGCAGAGAGAACAAAACAAAACAGCTTGCATCCTGTCAGCTTTGATAGGGAATAGAAACTGTGTGTCACTCTTTTCTCTGTGTGTGTGTGTGTGTGTGTGTATGTGTGAGCCCACCAGTCCAGTCTCCCACAACTCGCAGATGGATGCCCAAAGTTTCCTTGTTCTCTGTGGGACACTGTGAGGAGTTAAAGGGCTGACAGTTACTCAAAATACAAACACACACGTTAACACACAGAGACACGTGCAGCTAACACAAGAAAAACTGGCATACACACAAACACATGGGTCAGCACATATACAATACATAGCTACAGCTCTTTTCACTAAATTTAACAATCTACACACACACACACATTGATGGACACACACACACGCACGGCCTTCCTGTTGGCAGACAGTGTTACTAGCCTCAGGGGTCTGTCTGCTCTCTGTCAGAGTGATTCTCTACCCTCCTCCTCAAAGCTCTATAACACACCAGGCATAGGCATGCACAGTTATTGTGCTCCTTTGTGGGAATCAGGGGGTTTTGTATGTGGCTGCGTGTGTGTGTGTGTGTGTGTGTGTGTGTGTAAATGATTCCATCCCTTCCTGCTGTGCGAGCATACAGGGATTTCTTTATCTTCTCCTACTGTATCATGGAATCTGAACTAATCCCGTAAGCATCAATACACAGCGTGAAACACAATATTACTGCACAGCCCAGGTGTCAGTCAAGTGCCAGTCATCAGCAGAGGGTGTGTTGAGTATCTACTAATAAACATCTGCATTCACATGTGTATACAGAATATATGTGTGCTTGCACTGTGTCACGACAGGGGAATGCGTTAAAGCGGGCTGCAGTAGGTCTTACCATTGTGAGCGTGAAGGGATGGTTCTCAAATGAGGAGACACCTGGGCAGTTAAGAAGGATATGCTGAGAAAAAAGAGGAGGACGGGAAGTCGCAGAGAGCCAGCAGGATGTAAAAGAAGGAGGACGGGGGGATTAGAGAGGGGGTATGTCGAGAGAAAGAAATCATCAGATGAATCAAACGAGTGGAATTTCCCTTCTCTCCAAAAAGCAGCGGATATTTGACCAACTCACCTGTCCAGGTCGAGCTTTGAAGTTCTTTTTCAGCATGCGCAACTCCACGACATCACAAGGGTGCCTGATGACTGTCACTATGGTAACGGGGTCACGGCTCTGGATGTAGCGGTAGAAACGCTCCACACAGTAGAGACAGAGAGGACCAGACACCCACAGCCACGTCTACAGAAACAACACAGCACAAACCAGGCATATGGGATAGATAATGAAAGCAGTTTCACAAAGACAGCTTTATGTCATGTGTGTTGCTCTCCTGAGTTTATTTTTTTTGCGATGTCACTATGTTACAAGATCTCAGCAGTTACTCTGGTGTGACCCCAACACTGTCACATAAAAGGAAAGATCTGAAAAATCAATGACTTAATAGCTCATGTGGCTCATGATCCATCACAGTTCCTGGTTACTGAAACGAGTGGACTACAGAAAGAAAAGGTTTTGTTGGTTCCAACTTTGTTTGGTCTTTTTTGTAGATAATGGCTCCTAGTGTGGTTCTCTGGACTCTCAAAATCTTAGAAATTGCTTTGTAATTCTTTCCAGACTGAAAGATATCAGTGACTTTGCTGTTTATCTTGAGATTCTTAAGATCATGACATGATGTGTCATTTTTTAAAATCTTTCACTTTACTTCACTTTGTCAGACAGGCTGTATTTAAGTGATTTCTTGATTCAACAGGTCTGGGAGCTATCAGGCTTGAGTGAGGCTAGCTTTCCAGAAACTCTGCTTTATCGCAGTTAATTCACGATTTAACAAGCAGAGAGTGATTTCATTTATTTTGCCCAGTCAGTTAAGTCTTTATTTAAAAAGTGCATTTTGTATTTACTCCCACAAAGGGGGCAAATACTTTCGTGCAGCACTGTAAGCAAACCAATGACTGCTGCCGCTGTTCTGGTGGTATCAGTATTTGAAAAGTGGTTTGAATCATGAGGCTTGGCGACTGGAAACTTTGCATAATAAAGGCCATTCAAACTACAGCAGCCGAATTTTCCCTCGGGACTGTATCTAAGTCGGCGAATGTTAGTACAGAAATGTGTACCAGGTATTTTCTATCAAAGCTTTGTAATTCCATCAGCCTGTTCCCCATCACAATAACCCGAGGAGACTGAATCAAATCCAGCTGAAAAGAGAGAGTACGCTCACAAGAATAAATACTAAATCGACTGATATCACAGTGTGAGGTTTTTCTCTTCCTTTCTGTTAGCAGTTACCTGTAACAGACTAATTGCTCGCAGCTTCAGTAAAGCCCTGGGAGCACAACTGTACTTAAGGGGGGATTTATGGAACCAGCTCGTTGCTTAACGACCAAGTGCAAACACATCATCACACACGCAGGAGGAAACACACACAAAAACAGGCCTTGATGTCGAGAAAGGATGCAGCCCCTCCCTAGCAGTATTACACCCCTGCTCAATGGGACCAGCTCCTACCAACACTTCCCAAATACCCAGCATTCATCCAAAAGCCCCAACCACAAACCCTAAAACACTGACGAAGACTTAAACAAACATTTCCTTCAACTCAAACCAAAACACAAACACATGTAAATATGCTCATAACACACATGCCTGGACCACTCACACACACACACACACACACACACTCTGACCTGGGGATAATGTGGCTGGAAGCGAGCGTCCTCGTTGCATCGCCTCTCCTCTTCTTCACTCGTGTCCAGTTCATCTCCCTGCTGCTCGGTGCTGCTCTGGTTGGCTCTGAAGCAACCAGGGGGGTGTGCCTCTATGTTGGTCTGATACTTTAGAGCTCCACTGATGAAAACAACATAATGTTTTCATCAGTCACACTTTAGCACATTTACTCATCACTCTTTTACGACTACTCAGGCAAAATAGATTTAAAATGAAAACTAGGGGCTGACAGTTCAACCACACAGAAGTAAAAACAGGCGCGAACAAGCACTTGGCTGAATGGGATGACTAGTACCTGCATTTGAATTTCACCTGAAAGACTTTCAGTTCCTTGGAAAAACAAATGACTCTGTGTGTTGCATAAGTGTAGAGGGGAAACCCAAACACCCACATGCACTGTTAGTGCTACCTACCCAACCATGTGTATCATCAGGATGACGTAGAAAACAATGAAGAGGTTGTGTGTGTACCAGAAGATCTCATAGTTGGACATGCTGTAATAAATTACAAGACGATCAGAGTTTACTAAGGACATGATGTACAGACTCCCAGCTCAGAGCCTGAGTGAGGAGAACATCAAAGATCAGTAAAGAGGTCGTTACACAGAACAACCCCCCCATAAACACTGCAGACAACAACCAAGCTCTGTATTCTCCCTTTTCGAATGCAGCTCTTTTTTAATGGTAACTAAGATATACACAACGTGGCTAAGATATCCTGTTACACCCAACAATGTCATACGATTCTTCTGGTTCTGTACTAACCAAAACATAGCTTAATCTGTCAATCATTCTCCAGAAACAACAACTAAACACAGCATAAATCTCTTTTAAGAACTTAAAAGAGAAACTATTAGAGCAACGTATCGCTCTCTGGCATGCAGTACAAAGCTCTGTTGTTTGTCTGAGTTAACTGTACTTGATCATGAAGTGGAATGATGCTAGAAGAGATTACTCAAGCTCTCCCAATCTATCATTCCTGGGAAAGTGGAAGGAATTTTTGGAGAGGAAAGTTCCATTTCAAAAAATAAATACATAAAATTATTGCATCTTGGAATTCATTTCATGCATATTCTCACTTGAAATAAATTAAACACTGTGGCCCGTGACTTTTTCTTTTTTTTACATTAAGCTGTAAAAGTGGGCTTCTCTTCAAAGTCGTTAGATGAGCTCATAGAGCACACATTTTCTCCTCCATGGGCATCGTAACGCAAAGCTTCTCACAACTCAACACTTTCTAATGTTAAAGGCAACAGGGAGCAGACATGAAGGTACTGCAATCCGTAAAACATAAATAACCTTGGAGACTAAAGTAAGTTCATATCCGTGGATCACTGACTCATTAAGCAGGTATTCTTCTGCTGTGCAGCCGCCATCATCCCACCACTCCAGCCACTTAGCCAAATTCTTATCTAAAGCCTTAAGTGGTCTGGAAAAGCCTCTTATCCCCTGTTCAATTACCGAGGAAATCAGGGAGACCGTTCGGAAGACTAATACACGTATAGTGAGTGACCCACTATGACCTGAATAAGGACAGAGCTGTGATTTTCTCTCCCACAACCTTCTGTTATTGTGCCTCCTCATGGTCTCCAGCTTACATTTCACTTTGACTAACACAAAATGAGTCATGAGCTCAGACAGAAAGAGAAAAGCGAAGAAACACAACACAGAGATACTGATGTCTCGCCTTCTGTCTGACAGACAGACATAAATACAAATCATGTTTGTATCGAGGAGCGGAGACGTGGAGCCGGGCTCCAATTCATCCCAATTACAGTTGCTCATCAAGTCTATGAGGGTTCTTTCCTCGCTTCTATTAATACAAAGACTATGATGACTATTATAATGGTGGTCTGATTTAGCCTACCGTACACAGTAGGAGGAGGATATGAACATCAGGAAGAGGATGAGGACCAGCAGCACACCAGTGACTCCTGGGACTAAAGACAATAACTCAGTTACAGAATGGAGACAAAGCCAACAAAGTACTTAGGGGTCACAAACATACATATAAAAATACACATAAGGGAATTGTCTGCTCACACGTTTAAAGCAATATTTGCCATTTAATTTAATATAAAAACTGAATTTCAAAAACACAACATGACTTCCTATTCTTTCTAAAGCCACTAATCTGTACCATAGTGCATGACAAAGAGTAGTCCTTACTTGTGGTCAGAATAATCAGCATGGGGTCCTAGGAAAGAAAGCAGAAAATAAGAATTGTGTTCACTCTTCTGCATCTGTTTCTGTGAGGACCGATGAAGAGTTTTTGATCTCACAGAGGAAGCCAAGTCTGTGCTTTGGAGAGAAAACTGTCTGCAGGCTTCTTTCCAACACATCACTTCAGCTGGTGACTTTCTAGAATGTTCTTGAAGGTGAGCTAATCAGCAGACAAAATCTCCAGACGACTAGCTTTGGCTAAAAGTGTGGACATATTTGGATATTTCCCTCACTTGCTCAAACAGGTTGATGCTTTCAGATTTAGAGATTGGTGTGCTTCACAATGAATGCTTCTCTGATTATGTAACAGTAGCTTAAGCTTTGATATAAAAGACAGTTAATCATCTGGCAATCCAGCAATCATGTTTTCTTTTAGTGGATGTTTTACATTGTGAATGACCAGGTGTGCAGGACTGTTTTGCTCATGTGCTCCAGATGTGGTCAGACAACAGGTTTCAAGCATGTCTTGAAACTGGAAGCACAGGATTTGCGGTGGGACGTGTCACTGTGATGGTGAGTTCATGGGGGTGTGCTTGAGTCTCACCTCTCCTCTGTAGCGAGCCAAATTGAGAGCCGGAAAGTCATCTGAGTATCTCACACTGAATCTGACAACATTAACCAGGTGGGCAGAAACGTGCATAACTAGAGGAGAAACAAAACGTTACACTGTGCTGATTTAAAACACATTTAGTGCGCACATACAAGACTTCAAACAGACACGCTCTCACTTAATTATACATGTTCAAATGAACTGCCGTCAGAAACTCATACAAACATTTCTTTGTCTATTCAGCAAAAACTCAGCAAAACAACCTCCCCACTTACTAGCTGGCACACACACACACACACACACAGGACACACACTCCTAGCTGACATCATGGCCAAACCACGCAGTTGTTCAACAGCTGATGGAATTAGAGGGTGTGATCACGAGACACAAGGGTCCTATTTTCCCTACTCGCATCCTTCGTCACTCCCACTGCCTCCTCTATTGCTCTCTTTTCTTTCCTCCTCCTCTCCGTCTGTCTCTCCCGCTGCCTCCCTTTGTTGTCATTTGTTGTCTCTGAGTTTTGTTTTTCAGCACATGAGAACTTTGCCCCGGGGTTGGGGGCGGGGGGACGCATATGCATAGGGAACTGCTGAGTAATGTTTAATGAGTTGAGAGGTGAGTGATGATGAAGATAAAAGAAGAACTTAAGTTTACAGGCAAAGAACAGATGTCAGCATTGGAAGTTTTTTTTTTAATTTTTTAAATTTCTGTCATTCTGCTGCCAAAATCTCAGCCGATCAACCCAGGCTGGAATATCCGTGAAACCACAGAATGGAAGATTTTAACCGACGTTCCCAGTCCCCAGATAATGGATTGCTTCTTTCTGACCATTTTGGTTTTAAGTAAAATGTCACTCCAACTGTTATATGGGCCGTGATAAAATGTGCTCTGAAGAAAATACAGGCATTCTGTTTCTATTTAATGCGAGTTAGCATGCTGATGTATGAATGTAAGCTGGTGAACATCAGTCTTTCTCTTCCATGGAGATGAACCTGCTTAATAAGCAATCAAGTAACGCAGTTTGATTGGTTAAACACTCTCAGCTGATGAATGAATGGCCTTATTTATCACTTTATCAGTAATCAGTAATGCATAATTTTGACAATCATCGTCTGGCCAGCTCGTCTCCGCAACCACCATTAATCACTTTAATTAGTCAGATATTTAGAGCGAGGCAGGACCTTTTTACAATGCCCGAATCTCTGCTGCAGGAAAGCTCACAGCATGTGGCTTACCACTAACTTTACCTGCGGTTCAGCTTTTTGTGACACATGCAAGTAACCATAAGAAACAGCAATGCCGGTCAGGCTTCCCAGAAACATATGAATGAATAAGAGGAAGACCCCTGCAAAGAAGAGAGCCACTGGACCCACAGCTGCTTGCGGCTCCCATGATGTCATAGGAGACCCATAAGAATAACATACACACAGACACGTAGACAGTAAAAAGAAACACAAACAGCAAGAAGAGCATCACAGCTGGTTCAGCAGAAATGCTGAGCCAGCATGGATTCATGTGTACACATTCAGCACACAGACTAACACAGACAGGCACACAGTGATACATGAATGAATATGAGGCAGGGTGACGAGTGACAGCTTTTACCAGAAAAGATGCAGATGGCAACGCCACACGCCACATGAAAGGTCTTGGACTTGTCCAGCAGTCTGCGTGTCTTTCTGCTTGATATCTGCATCAGTGTGTGTGTCACACAGACAATAGTATTATTCACGTGGCTGGGATTCAATGAAAACACCAACTAATCCTCTTCCTTCTACCCTAATCAAGACTGCAATCCTTTTATGTTTCTATATTCATATTTGCCTCTGTATTTTTTAGCAGTTCTTTTACAATATATGAGTCGCTTTTACAGAATAAGCCCCACAACCTGTTTTCACTGATACAACCAAACCCACTTGGAAGTTCTTCTTCCCGTCCCTAAAATCTCCAATGATCCATCCGAGCTGTAGTACTTCTTACCATCCGTGTTCCTCGTACAAAGGTCACCAGAGAGCGACACATGGGCAAAAGCACCAAGCTGCAGTTCAGGTTTAGCACAGTTGCAGATGCCCTGCTGATGCACAATCCTAGCTGGGAAAGACACACACACAGACACACACACACACACATACATTGTTAGGCAAGTTGCCAACACTAGGCCTCATTTGGTGGGTGTAAAGTGGCCTGGTGGATTAAGGTGCACATTTTTGATTATTCCCATTCAGATATCAGCTATTCAATCATGGCCAATTGAATAGCTCGTAGTGCTAGATAAAACTACCTTTGTCTTTCTCAGAATAGATAAAACTACCTTTGTCTTTCTCAGAATAGATAAAACTACCTTTGTCTTTCTCAGAATAGAGAGCTAAGGACCCCTTTAGGGGTCTGTTAGTCTTTAAATGGAAGACATTCATTTATTTTGAAAGTCATCCAGTTTTTGGCTTTAAAAAGGGATTTAAAAAGACTGGAAAACACTGTTTATTCTCTAAGTATACACTCAAAGACTCTTCTGACTACACCACTGTTTTGCCACCACTTGCAAGTTTTACAGTCTGTCATCCTTTCAGTACAGAGCAGGTTAAGTAGAGGCCCCTAACAAGTTGATGACAAGTGGACAGTTTACCTGAAGCGACACAGGGGGGACGTCTGCTGTGTAATGTGGTTTTACAAATCTTAATCTTAGAGCTCGACAATCGAAGCTGTTTTCAAGCTTAAAAGCCGGACGTCCTTTGGCATCTTGTAAACACAGCACATTTAAACACTTTCTTGGCAGCCTGAGCGTGCGCTGCAGGTGCCGTCTCTTCTGATTATCCCCAAGAAACTGAAATGACTGGTGTGAGAGATGAAGGTAAGCACAGATCAAAGACGGAGAGCGCGTCTGAAACTGGAGTCCAGCCTTTGAAGGGATGGGGGATTTAAATAGCGGTAAAGATTTGTGATGGCTTTAAGAGATGCAACATAATATAGGAAGTGCGCTTAAAACAATGTGATTCCTTAAGGCGGCAGCAGCTTCTGGTCAGTCACCAGTTTCATGTGATTAGCTGTCACAGTGTGCTGTACAACAGATGCTGAAATATAAGAATGTGGTGAAACAACTGGTCAAGAGTTAAAATCTACATATAGCAGATGATGGGGGAAGACCAGCATGCTTATAAATCAGACGCCTACACCTTTGAAAGACTTCCCACACACACACGTTCACTCAGCATACCTTACTAACAACAGCTGACACCAAAACCAAGCAGGAGGTCTGATATCCTCCCTGCTTTCTGTACATCCCCAAAACCCGAGTTACACAGGTGAAGGAGAAAAGTTGGATATATGAAGTTTGAGCTGGATTCAGTTTGCCTTCGAAATACATCTCCGTCTTGCATGTACACACGTACACGTGTAGACACACACATAAGCTTAAGCCCTCTGGTAAGGCATTCAGTCAAGCCAGCAGCGTGCCCACACTTGCCCCTCTCTCCCCTTTGCTATCCACTGTACACGCAGTGCAATAGCTCGCACATGCTGCTCGCTGCCACATCTAATTTTATCACTTCCAGCTTTACCTTTGTTTTTTTCATCTGCTGGCTTTTCATACTAGCTTTAACAACTTCATTTACAAATACTCGTACTGTATTATATGTGCTAAACTTTGTTCTTGGCACATTTCAGTTATCAGTTTGGAGTTTGTTCAGCACAATTTGATATATTTTTAAACACAGAATCCAGGTGAGTGCTTTTGTTTTGCTATATTTGCATAAAAAATGTGATTTTTGGGAGAAAATCACAGATCTGGTGCAGAAGTAATGACTGCAATTATTATTTCCAAAGACAAGGAACTTTTTCACTCACACAAGCATGCATCGAGAGTCACACACCCACGCCCACAGAGACACCATTGAGACCTTGTGACAAAAATTACACCACATGAGCGAGCAGGCATTAAAATCTAAACCTGATTCTATGTGTGTGTGACTGGTTGACCCAGCTCATGTCCCTGCTGCCTGGTTCTGGAGGTCACAATAACAAGCCAATACACGTGGTGCTTTTATCTCTTCCTTAACAACAATAAGAATCAAATTTTCCGCAGAAAATAGTGTAAAAGTCACACACACAACCTTGTTTAGTTGTGGAATTATGAAGAGCACTGTAGGTCTACTGAATAAAGCTACTGTCAGCGGTTCCCTTACTCACAAGAACCAGGGATTTTTCACTTATCAGCCAAAATATGTGAATCACTACATCATGGAGCTACACTTTGTAGGCCTTATGAAGGTACATGATTTATAACTAATCTCAAATGATATGGTGGAAATGACAGAGCAGAGGAAAAAGCGTGATTTCAGAAGACGAAAGTCACTTATATGTTTCTCACAGCTGGTAAAAACACAGCTGCTACTTATATCATTAAGAGTGACCTTGTTATTTTCAGTTTTCTTTTGTGAATGTTAGCTGGCATCAACAATATCATGACCCTCAGGGTCACTGATGAGTTTTTCCTGTCTCACATGTCAAGATGTACAAAAATAAAAATCTTGAAAAATCTGTTTATGTCTAATCAAACATATGCAGTTAAGAAAGGGTTTGATGTAAGGGCTCAGTAAAGGGTCCGTTTCCTTCTTTAAGCTTGGTTCAAAACAACACATCTAGAAAGTGCATGTAAATGTATCAGGTCTCACCCCGAGCATCTTGTAGAGGTAGTGGTATTGCTGTCCAGTGAAGTAGAGCAGGAAGGTGCTGATGAACAGCCAGGTGTTAACTCCCAGCCACAGAATCTACCCCCACACACACGCAGACACACACACACACACGGAACACATCATCACAAACAGCACAAGAAATTGCCTGTAAAAGTCTCGTGCACATCTGTATCTGAGTTCAGGCCACAGCTGCCCTACAATAGCCAAGCAGACTGCATGGATACAACATGTACTAAACACAGTAACTGAGCAGCAACAGATTCATTTGAGCGTTCTTGGAGAATTGTGTAAGTTAAAGATAAATAACAGATATATTAACGAGTCAGTTAACAGATTTAAGTGGAGATGGGTGGTTTTCAAATGTCAGACAAAAAACTTTCCCCACCAGGACGAAGTGCTTCCCTCCTTCGTTGGCCACCCAGCTCCGCGCCGACACAACCATGATGCCTTCAGGGGCTCAGCAGCTGCCCAAACTTTTCACCAAAGCTCCGGTGCGGCCAAGATCTCAGAGACTCGTCCTCCCTGCAGCTCTGCCTCAGTCTGTGTGCCAGACTGCAGTGTCCACAGAGCAGCCGGTGCCTGCTCAGTCCAACCTCCCAGGAACTCCTCCGTTCACAGTGCATTTTCACTTTTTAGCCACCACAGCTCTTTCTCTCTCTGCCCCTCTCACCAGTCCCCCCCATGAACGACACGCAAGGACATTAAGACAGCAGCTTCCCTAAAACATCGTGAATTTATAAAAATACACAGGACGTACTCATTGAAACCACAAACACACTTGGGGGGAACAATAAACTACGATTAATCGCACCTTGCTGCGTCTTTCTGGCACTAGAGGGCGCTATAGACAAGCGTATCCCCGTGAAGTCTCCCATCTTTGACTCTTATAAGGTACTTTTTAAAAATTATACTTACACTTTTAATCACACATTTTAATTGCTGTTTTTTAATTACAAAGAGTTGCAAAGTTGAAGTTTATTTGAAGCCGGAGTGTCACACTCTTTCTTTTGTCTGATCTGAAGTGGGGTTGGTAGGTCGATAATAACCTGCCCGACTTTAAAGGACAATTATTTTATTTTAAAAAATTCCATTTAACTAAACCAAACACTTTAAAGTACAGACGAACAGTCTGGAAAAAAAATACACTGACAATTTTTTGAAGTAAACAACTAATGTGTTGTAGTCTTTATGACAATTTTAGCAGGCATGACGTTAACAGTGCAATTAATTGAAAAATAGTTATAGATTTTACGCTTTAGCACACACACAGAGCCATGTAGTGGAACTATAATAATAACTTTTATATTACCAAGAAATTATTAACACTGACTTATTAACGTATTAACTTATTAATGTGCTGTTTATGCAATAAGAAACCACTGAGATGAAGCTACTTCCGGCTGCTCCCTCTTCTTCACGAGGGGTAACAGGGGGTAGCTCTGCATGTTTGATTTGGCACCGGATGGCCTTCCTGACCCAACACCAAAGGACAGTTGACCACAGAGAAATTATTGCTAAAATTATAACTGTATAATCACTGTGAGAGATATTAGATGTTTGATTTGAATTTTTGCTAACAAACTAAGAATTGCTGTTTGGGGAGATGCATGTGAGAGTCCATGTTATTGTGATTATGACCTTTAGATCTCTGCATGGACAAACACCAGCATACATCAGAGAACATTTACACCCATAGGTCCCCAGAGGTCTCTGAGGTCATGTGATCAGGTCCTTGTGTATCATCCAAGGCTGAAAACTAAAGCAGACAGTGCTTTTGCAACAGTTGCTCCAAGACTCTGAAACTCCTTCTGAGCTTGGGGATCTTTGGGTTTGATGAACGCTTTCAAAAACAGATAAAAACTCTTTTTTTTTTTACTTTTTGTTTTTCAGTTTTTCAGCATTTTGTTGTGAAGCCCTTTGTGATGTTTTTCTTGAAATGTGTTATACAAATAAAACTTTCTTACTTACAGTTTATTAATTATACCTGAACAACAAGTTAAATTTAAAAAAAAATCAACATCTAAATGCCGATAATTAAATTTGATTCCCAGATAAACAGCTTGTTGAGGAGTCACTGTTGTGGTTTGTGAACTCCTCACATTCCTGAGGGCAGAGAGCCTCCTCCCCACTTCACGCTTCAGCCGACTGCATGAAAGAGCTATCCTATACACCACACAGCTGTTCACAGAGCCAGGAGGGGTCAAGCAGAGCAGAGCATGCAAGTCTTTGCTGTGGGAAAACATGCATGACTATCAATAGCAACAGACAGTGGTCTAATAGGAAATCATGAAATTTTAGCTGATATGGATCTTAAAGTAAATAAACTTGTGCTTAATAACCTGCTTCCCTCTGTAGGAGCTCGGCTCACATTTCAGCAATGTGTAGAAAAGGGATTAAAGCTATCATACCTTTGATTGTGTGACAGAAATGGGTTTCACTAACCTGATTTGTTAGATCCCTCCTTTCTAAATAAAAGCCTCTGTAGCTGGTGAAATGTGCATTTTATTTCTTTTATTTGAGATTAATTACATTTTTATTATTAAAAAGGCCAATATCAGACATTTCCAGGTTTGGTACTTTGATGGAGGTTATGAGAGAGCTCAGAAAGAGCATGCTGGGCTAAAGTTTGTTCAGCTGGATCAGTGTCTGCTGACTAGAAGTGTTCAGTGCCCTACAAATTTCCCCCATGACCGAAAGTGATTTAGTATCTGCTATTCCATTTTCACTCAGCCAACCTCTGCTTTTTTTCTCCACTAGTGTCATTAACCCCCACCCCCCACTAGGAAAACAGTATCCAGAGTGGCTATCTTGTTTTATACTGAGTAATAACTGAGTCAGCACTGGAACAGCCAAGGTGCACGGCACAGCAATCAGCTCACAGGCAAAGCCAAGCATTAATGACTAGTTTCTTCTTTGCATTCCTGTCCAAGTTTTCACTCACCGCCTCTTTCAGTCAGCCACCACACTCCCTCCCTCTCTGTGTATCACACTCCACCTCACTCTGCCATTCCCCCGCTGTGCACTTCTCAAACAAATTACTCTCTATCGCTATCTCTGCAAGCGTGCCCTGTGGAGTCAGTTGTGTCCGTGTGTGGAAAAGTTGGAGCTGTGCCGTTTTAAAATGAGGAAAGAGAGCAGGTGGATTCGGTGGATCAAGTGGATTGTGATTGTGACAGTTTTGTTCGTGCTGGGCTTCTGCATAGGTAAGCTCGTAAAGCCAACCCTAGCTTTATCTGTATACTGATTGATATTGCCTGCGTGCTTTTCTGTTCCTTTTTAATGAAGTCTCTAATGCTATTGGGGGAACAACAGCATAGCTGTCCTGGTATTAATGAAGAAACCAGTGAGAGTTAATTAAATGACTTAAATAAATACACTGCTTAAGGAGATAAAGCTTTTTTTTGTTTTGTTTTTGTGAATTTGTCTAAAATGATTAATGTGAACTGTTAAAGTACTTAGTGCCCTTCGTGATGGCACAGTTTGAAGAGCTTGAGTGTCACCATACTGACAGATTTCATGTCTTTGTGCTCACAGCAGGTTAACACTCACTCCATAAACCCAACGAACCTTACAATATAACATTGGCAACCTTTTGTCAAGCACCAATACAACCAGTATAGTCCATCTATAGCCTTCTATTTCCTCTTTAAACTAACAATTTTAAACACATAACAGTGTGTGTGGTAACAATTCGCTTCTTAAGAGAAGTGATGCCGTTACAACTCACTCAATGCTTGTTTGTGCTCTATTTGTCTATGTGTAGGCTGGTTTGCAAAGCCTTCAAACACACAAAACCACACGGATTCCAGCCATTACCTGAAGGATTTTTTGGAGGAAATGAAGGCAGATAAGATCAGAGAACATCTCAGGTAAAAAGTGATCACCAGTATACTAAATCTGTTGTGTAAATCTGTTTTGCAGTGGTCTCTGTTGACTTTTTGACCCCCTCTGCTCCAATGTTTGTAGTCGCACAGCAGTGCTAGTCATGGCGCTGACATCCCACTGACTCACCCAAATCTAACATGGTGTGCCAGGTGGTTTGTTGAGACCTCTGAGGACTCCAGCAAAGTGTACTGAAATCATGCTGGTTACTAAATACTTAGTTTTTTATTGTGAAGTCTAGTTTTGATACAAAGAACCTGAAGGTGAACTATAGCAACATGAACTGTTTTAGTTGAGTGAAAACATCTGGGCATGTGCATCATGTTGCGTTCAAGTGAAATCATGTATCAGCCTTGAATGCATGTAATAATTTTCTTTACATTTATTTTTTATGTATTCAGTTCAAGGTGCTATTCTTCACATAACAGTGCCACTGTAACCATCAGCATCCTCTCCACAGGAAATTTACACAACTCCCTCACCTGGCAGGCACAGAGCAGAACCTGAAGTATGCGGAGCAGATCATGAAAGAGTGGCAGATGTTTGGAATAGACTCAGTGGAGATGGTGCCGTATGATGTCCTCTTGTCCTATCCCAATGAGTCACAACCAAATTACATCTCAATTGTTGATCATCTTGGCAATGAGGTACAGTGTGCTGGAAAAATGTGTACTGAAAGTGCATGTTGATGCAACATTGATTCAAAAAGACAGCATGCAAATTGTTGTGCAAGCTTTCTTGTGTCTGGTGCAATATTTCTGTTTTTATAGCATTAGGATGGAAGTCATTGTCATTTCATTTCATAGTCTGTAAAACAACCATTTTCATGTCTTGTGTTCAGATAGTGGAACCACTTTGGATTTATTTGTACTTCACACAGTGGGACACATTTAGTGACACTAATCCATTTCACCACCTCAAGAATAAAAAGCCTCTTGTGATTTTCCCATGCATTTGAACATTCAGACCTCTTACTACTTCTCACTGTATCTGGAGAGGTAACAAAGTTGCTGACTGCATGTAGAAAAGACACACAGTAACATATTACTTCAACCCCCCCTCTCCTCTCCTCTCCTCCCCCACCCTTCTGATAGTCTTCACCACAGAAATGCAAGACTTACTTGTTTGAGTCCAAGGTCCTTTTAAGGTCTCGGTGTGAGATAAACCTCTGTGAGTGTCTGATAATGATACAACACAGAAAAACAGTATTGGTGCACTGTTGTATATCAGCTGGTTTGGATGCATTAAGGAGTTTAAAAGCAATCAGAGCAGCTAAATGTCTGAAGCCTGGAAATTATTTCAGGAAGTCAGATTGAGCTTGTACGACAGAGGTGCTTCACACCATAACAAGCAGGAGTCGTGTGGTCCTGTGCTCTATATACGTAAGGACCCAAAAGCGTCCAGTTTATACTGTCATCCTTTATTTTCTGCTGTTGGTGTATTTGCTTATGGTATACATCAAAGGGAGGCTTCTGCTTCTGTGTTGGTTAACTCTGCTCTTTTTTAGATGCTTTGCAATCTAGTCCAGACAACCATTGTCGTGTGTTTTTACTTTTTGACAAGATCAAAGCTGAGTTCACAGCTGACCAGCTTCTGATGGAAGCGAGGAAAGAGTTTCCTCAGCTGTTCTAATCTAGTTTAGTTCAGCCTCGTCTGTCTTTACTCTCTCAGGTTTTTAACACTTCCTTGGCTGAGCCGGTTCCACAGGGTTATGAAGATATTTCCAACATCGTACCTCCATACAGTGCTTTTTCTGCCAAAGGACAGCCTGAGGTAAACAAACATGTGTACACACGAACAATTATAATATTAAAACAGGCACCCGAGGCCTTTGCTTCTCCTTTGTTTCTCTTCAGGGGGACCTGGTGTATGTCAACTATGGTCGCACAGAAGACTTTTCTCAGTTACAAAGGGAGATGGGCATCAATGTGACAGGGAAGATTGTCATTGTCAGATATGGAAAAATATTCAGAGGCAATAAGGTAAGAAAAGTGTTTTCCTGGTAAATTTCAAAATATGCCAAAAATGTTTAAATTTTCATTCATCTTTAAGCAATTAATGCACTCTATCAGCGTCACATCAGTCATCTGATTATGTGATGACTGGTTGAGAACAAACATGACACTTTTTCTTCAAAATAACCCACAGCTCCCTCTCTGCCTCTCACCCTGTCTGTCTGCCAGGTGAAGAACGCCGTGTTAGCCGGAGCAAAAGGGATCATTATGTTCTCAGACCCAGCAGATTACTGGGCTGATGGAATCCAGGTGGGAATTTTAAAAAGCCACGATGCAGTGACAGTATCTACAAACAACTGCAATTAATTTGTGATTAACCTTTTCTTGAAATCACAGTCTGACCACTGGCACGACAGGACAAAAATGTAAGAATTAGCATTTTAGAATTTGTTTACTTGCAGCCCTACCCCGACGGCTGGAACCTACCTGGCAGAGGAGTTCAGAGAGGAAATGTTCTCAACCTGAATGGAGCAGGAGACCCGCTCACACCAGGGTACCCTGCTAAAGGTGGGCGCTGCCATGCACTAGAGTCTGTACTCTCATCATGAGCATGGATGTCACAGTAATTTGGGGCTTTTAATGATTTCTTTGAAGCACCTTTAATGACTTTAAAGAAGAAGAATTAGGTATACAAGTTTTAAGTGATCTTGAATTTTTCTCTAATTCACACAGTTACTCAAACTTTCACGTACAGGGTCAGAAGTATTTAATATATTAACTGTTGCGTAAGTTGGACCCTGACTAGAAACTTTTGGTAGCCATCAACAAGTTTCTGCCATATTTATGACTGGATAATTGACCACTCTCTTATCAGAATTGATCAAGTTCAGTTAAATTAGTTGTTTTTCTTGTATGGGCTATGCTTAAAGGCAGAGTCTGTGCCAAGAAATCAACCAATATCGAGCCAGAATTACACCAGAAAGTTGTTGATGGCCACCAAACGCATCTGGTTGAGGAACAACTTGCTAAGAAACATTTAACCAAATATTAGTGGGGATGTATATATACTTTTGACCCTATGTGTATAATTCGAGTTTATGATTAGATTAGATTAGAAAATCCAAGATATTTTAAAACTTGTGCACATAGTTCTTTTTTTGTTAACAGTTCAAAGAAATCATTCAAAGCCCCAAATTACCATAATATTTATGCCCATGAAGACTATAAGTAAACTTCTGACCACTATTCTACATAGAGTTTACCTAACAACATAGTTTCCTCTCCTGCAGAATACACCTACAGATTCAGCCCAGAGGATGGAGTAGGACTTCCCAACATCCCTGTGCATCCAATTGGCTTCCACGACGCTTTTCGTCTTCTGAAGTATGAATATTTTTTTTCCATTTCAAACACTTGGTAATAATGACCAATTTATTAGAGCATTGTTTTCACTTTCACTTCCATCTGGAGTTTAAGGTAACAATTGATACATTTGACTGGAGGCCCCTGGATGACATTGCTAGTGAATTTGTAAATAATTTTTCATGTTACAGTAACATGGGAGGAGAGATTCCACCCAACAATTGGAAGGGAGCTCTGAACGTCTCCTATAGGATTGGCCCAGGCTTTACAGATGAATTTAAGAGCCAGTAAGTTCTTGTCTAAAGCTTAAATCCTTCACATTTTCATACTAAACCCCTTTCCTCTCCCACTGGCTGTTCTTCCTCTGCCACTTCAGTCCAGTCTCCAGTCTGTTTTTAGTGTTTGTCTCTTCTTTTTGTTGCTCTTGTTCACATTCTGTGACCCAGTGGCATCAAGCCAACTGAAATACAATGGAGGCCTTTGTACCGCCTGTGTGTGAGAGACATAACTAAATGCGCACAACAAATCAAATCAGCTGTTCCTAGCAGACCTAAATTTTGAGCTGCAGTTTAAAGTTGTTCATTATAAAACAAACTTAAATAATAGCATTTTGTGTGTGTTGAAATTTATACCCCAGGCATGATCCCCAGGTTTTTGCACCAGTCATTTCCTGTTAAATTATTTTGGTCTGTTTGTGTCTTAATACCTTTGCATGTATCACTCATTCCTCAATCTGCCTCTCTCAGGAAGGTGCGTATGAACATCCACACTAACAACCAGGTAACCAGAATCTACAACGTCATTGGAAAGATTAGAGGAGCTCAGGAGCCAGGTACCAGAAACCCTTCATTCTGCATCACACAATTAGCATTGACGTGCAGACCGCAGCATGGATACACAAACAGATTCGATGTCTGCATACAGTACGATATATAGGAATGAAAATACAGCTTGACGTTTGTTTGTCTGTTCAGAGACATTAAAACAGTAACTTAGTGTCTTTTTTATTTAACATCTCTTGCTACATGTGCTGTTGGTGGGTTTGTGTAGACAGGTATGTGATTCTCGGAGGGCACCGCGATGCCTGGGTGTTTGGAGGAATCGATCCCATGTCTGGCGCAGCAGTGGTCCATGAAACTGTCAGGAGTGCTGGCAGGCTGCTAAGTACAGGTATGATTTTCCCAGTGAGTGAATGAAATAATTACTGTATTAATACTCAGGATTCATTGACATCTGTTTGTGTGTGTAGGCTGGAGGCCAAGGAGGACTATAATATTTGCCAGCTGGGATGCAGAGGAGTTTGGACTGCTGGGATCTACAGAATGGGCAGAGGTACCGTATATGCAAATGTACACACACTATATTTAAAACACACAGAATTATCTCACTTCACCCTTCTCGTCAGGATAATGCCAGGCTTCTGCAGGAGAGAGCTGTGGCCTACATCAATGCAGACTCTGCAATAGAGGGTGAGAATGCTTTTCTGTTGAAAAAATGACTTAGTGCCAGGTTGTTTCTGGTTTTATTTGTATGTGTAAATGTCTTTTTAAACTCCAGGTATGTACACTCTGAGGGTTGACTGCACTCCATCACTGCATACTTTGGTGTATGACATCACGAAGCAGGTGGACAGATTTAAACTACCACAGATCTGAGTATATGATGCTTGTCCAAGCATCTTCTTCTGTCGACCCTGAGGTCATCTGTTTTCATGTTTTGGAGCAGATACCCAGTCCAGAAGAAGGAGAAGAGGGAGTATCTCTGTATAAGAGCTGGCATAAGAGGGACAACTGGACAAATGACCGTGATGCACCCAGGTAGAAAGCTACAAAGTTAGACAAAATAGGATAATAAGCATTATTATTAATAAGCAACAGTAAAAAATGTCGCCATTTGGGCACATTGTGTAAGACGCACTAACTGGCCAGAACAGGTATAGCAAATAAATGCATTTAGGCATGTAGACAACCTTCCAAAGCTTAAGTAACTTTGAATGTGGTGTGTTTGTTGGTGTCAGATGGGCTGGTCTGAGTATTTCAGAAACTGCTGATATACTGGGATTTTCCCACACAACCATCTCTAGGGTTTACAGAGGATGGTCCCAAAAAGAGAAAATATGTACTGGGCAGCAGTTCTCTGGGAGAAAGTGCCTTGTTGATTGCAGGGATCAGAGGCGAATGACTGCTTCCAGCTGACAGGAAGGCTACAGTTACTCAGAGCACCATTTTTTACAACCAAGGTATGCACAAGATTCACAATAAATGAATTCTTAATAAAGAAGATGGTCTACGGCAGCAGAAGACCACACCAGATGTGAGTCATGTTAGCTAACAACATGGGGTCACCAAAACTGGACAGTAGAAGATTGGAAGAATGTTTGCTGGTCAGATGAGTCTAAATTTGGCTGTTTGGATGGATGGTAGGGTCAGAAGTTGGTATTAAAAACATGAAATCATGGCTCGATCTGGCCTTATGTGAACATTTCAGGCTGGTGATGATGTAATTATGTGGGGGACATTATTTTTCGCTTTGGGCTCTTCAGTACCAACAGAGCATCGTTTAAACACCACAGTCTACCTGAGTATTGTTTCTGATCATGCTAATAAAAAAGGGATTCTGACGGTTGATTCCAGAAAGATAACACTCCATGTTAGAAAGCAACTTTTTCTGAAGACAGAAGGTCAAACTGAGTACTTTGCAAAGTGTACCTTATAAAATGTCCAACGAGTGCATATGCATTCTACTTAAAAGCCGTATCTATTCAGTCTAGTCTTTTAGTGTTTGTAAGTTAGCTTTAACCTCCTAGGACCACATATGTGGACATCACATTTTTGGTTGTCTAGACCAAAATACTAAATTTTGCAGTACAAGGGCCTGATATCCATTTACGAGGACATTATGCTGCTTCTGTTTTATCAAAATTTAAAACAAATATCCTCATATGTGGCTCTCATTTTTCTTAGAAACAAAAATCAGGTTAAAAAAATCTGCTGATTCTTTGTTTTTACATACATTGGGTCCCAATATGCCCAAATTTAAATAAAAAAAGCATGCCATGGAAGAGTTTGGGTCTTAGGAGGTTAAGTTAAATTTTGAATATGAGGCGTCTCACTCATTTTTCATTTATATGGCTCAATCCTGGTGTTTCGTAGGATCAGTAAACTTGGGTCAGGCAGTGATTTCGAGGCCTATTTTATCCGTCTGGGAATTGCTTCAGGCAGAGCTCGATACACCAAGAACACGGTGAGACATGCTGCACTCCCACATTTATCCATATAGTTATTTGTTTTTACCACAATTAAGGTATATGGCTATGTGCTTTTGCTGTATTCATAGTGTAAGCGTTTGTATATTCAGAGTTCTTTATATTTGCATTTTTATTTTCTACTACAATGTAAATCTACTGTGTTTTATTCAAGATCGATGTTATTGAAAGTTTGGCTTTACCAAAGGGTGGAGTATCTTAGTGAGAATAAGAGGTGACTGAAGGGTCTTTATTGTAGAGGTTAAGTAACTGTGAGCAAGCATGGACTCATGGTGAAGTATTTTATGTGTCTATTCAGAAAACAGAGCGCTACAGTAGCTATCCAGTCTATCACAGTGTGTATGAAACCTTCGAGATCGTGGAGAAGTTCTACGACCCCTCGTTTAAGAGGCTTCAGGCGGTGGCCCAGGTGAGAGGTGCACTCATCTTCCTGTTGGCTGACTCCCAGCTGCTCCCTCTGGATGTTAATGAGTATGCAGATTCACTGAGGAAATATGCACAGAGCATAGCACAGCTGGCCCAGAAGAACTTAGTGGAAATGGAGACGTATAAGGTGTCATTTGGTGAGTTATGGTCACTGTTAATACAATAATGTCATGACCCAAAGATTGCAGAAGTGCTGTCACAGTATATGTGGTGCACACTTTTTAATTGTATCTATTTTCTCTAGATTCCCTCTTTTCTGCAGTCGAGAACTTCACTGTTGCAGCCAGGGATTTCCACCAGCGCCTTCAGACTCTCAACAAAGCGGAGTACGAATTGTGTTTAACGTGTTAAAAGTTTCAGGCGTCTTAAACAAAAGCTTCACTATACTTATGTTTCTACTGTATACATTCCTTGAAATGTGTCTTGAGACTTGACATGTAGTGAAATTCAGATGGAGGTGTAATAGTATTTTTTTGTATGTGCAGTCCTCTTCAGCTACGAATCATGAATGATCAGCTTATGTACTTGGAGAGAGCCTTTATAGACCCTCTGGGCTTACCTGGCAGACCTTTCTACAGGTTAGTTTCTCACAAACACACAAAAAACATTTTTCTATTTTTTTTGCATTGTTTTACAGCTACACCTCAGTATACTGCCCATTAGTTAGCAGCATGGACTGAGTTAGCATTATTATGAGCAGTAAGATTGATCTAGATTAATTCATTTTTTTTAAATTTCACAAATTTTGCAAAACATGTCTGTAGCGTTGTATTATTCTTTGAGAATACCTGGGCAGGTGGAGGCAATGCTCTGGAGAGGAGAGGAATGATGGGGAAGATTTAAGCATGTAGTGAAAGAGGACATGCAGTGAGGTGGTGTGACAGATGAGGATACTAGAGATGGAGGCAGAAGGAGGCAGATGATCTGCTGTTGTCACCCCTAAAGGGAGCAGCCAAAAGAAGATTTCTTAAAACTAATACATCACAAAGCAGTAGTCTATGCAGTAGCAACGTTTTTAAATTGCAGCTTCTCAAGATTGAGCAGCCTTGTTAGTGTTGTCACCACCTTACTGTGGCTGCTTAGAACAGAATGATTTATTTCTTTGGTTTACATTTACAAGGCATAACATGTGAAACTACGAAGCATTAAATTGAGAAAACAGCTATTATGAGAAAAGAGTAACAGTCATTGCATCTCATTGGGCTTTCTGGGATGTCCACTTCACCCTCTATTTCTGTGAATTTAAACATAGTGCAGCTCAGCTCTATGGTTTACCGATCCAGTCTCAAAGTACACTTTGGGATGGGCTCCTATGTCATATGAGTCACCAATAAAACACTTGTGCTACTGGGTACCTCACAAGACAGATAATCTTTAAAACTGCTTCGTCTGTGGTCCTTGTCACTGAATATATTCTGTATCTATGCTGTACATTAGAAAACTTTACTCTTTTCTAAATGTGATATTTTAAACCCAAGACTAGCCAAGTTTACCTTGGTTTAGTCATCCTATGTGTGCATTTAACAGTAAAAAGAAAATGCTAAATGGCACAAATACTGTGTAGTAGTTTCTAGATTTTTTAGAAGTATTTATAAATTCTGTCATGTGATGTTTTCGTGCAGACAGCTGTCACTCTTTTTATAAACATTCATAATTATATTTTAATAATTACACGATAACTACAGTGTCCTTCAGACTCTTGGCTCCTGAAACAAATTTTAAATATTATTTTGATCCTTTTAAACTGTATGCATGACTGCTTCTCAGATTTATACATTTGAAAACACAGCTGACTGTGAGAGGCAGTAGATGTCAAGACTCTTGTCCTCTTTACTTGTTCCCACTCTTGAACTTCTTTTTTTCAAAAATAGCACACATGTATTTCTCTTGAAATACCAGTGAGTGCATTCCCCTAACGATACACTTCCATTTAATTCATCTGTTCTATTTTCAGGCATGTGATTTTTGCTCCCAGCAGCCACAATAAATATGCAGGGGAGTCTTTCCCTGGGATCTATGATGCTTTATTTGACATTCAGAACTCAGCTGACCCAGCAAAGGCCTGGGAGGAAGTCAAGTGTCAGATCAGCATAGCAGCTTTCACTGTCCACGCTGCTGCCATGACCCTCACACCGCCTGCATGAAGACAATATAAAAATGTGTAATTAATTTGACAATTATAAGATCTCCAGTTCAACACACATGGGAATCCATGTTTATCTGGATGTTTTCCAGAACACCTAGACCTGCAGAACAATGTGAAATGCTTCATCAAAGCTTGAGAAATCTTTGTACTTTTTCAGGTTTCTGTTTTATGATGTGGCTCCACAAATAAATCTGTTTTTTTTATGTTTTGTAATAATATTTGTGATTACAAGTCCACTCAACTCTTCACATGTGGGCTCAAAGATCACTGATTTTAGTTATGCACGCAGATTTTTTTGACAAATTTACTCAAATGAAAGGTACACAGCAAAGTTTATTGCATGATAAAATGATCTCATGTTGTGGAAACACTGTCAAACATTTATCCTATGTTTAAAACGCTGAGCTGTCAAAGTTATGACATACAAGGGATGACATTACGAGGCAATGAAGCCCAGACATTCGAACAACAGTTGTTTAAAAAAAAAAAAAAGCTTAAGTGACAATCAGGAAAAGTTACAGTGTAAAGGCAAAAATATGACAATAATTTCACAAATAATAATATAAAATATAATCCATACAGTTAGGGTGAATAAATCTGATACTGTGTTAACTGGAAACAACATTGGTGTTCTTACACTCATAAATATCTTTTGTGACTTCTTTGTGTGATTTTTGTATAAGGACACCTAAAGAGAATGCACAGAAATAACACATGAATTCCATATTGTGGAGGCTGACAACAACACATACTCATTAGAGAAAAATGTCTTGATGCATGCTCAATCATCCAGGTAAGGAAATCCGGTGGGAGAAACATTTTGAGTCACTTATCCAAGTGACTTGATAAGTGACTTATCAAGTCACTTGGATAAGTTTCGAGTCACTTATCCAAGTGACTTGAAATGTTTCTGCCACTGAAAACGCTAAATCCAGATGAACAGAATCAATCTTTTTGGGATTAGAGAAAAATATCAAAGAGATAACTTAAGACTAAAATTGATTCATCCATGTGGCTAGATAAATAAGCTGCCTAACCACAGTTATATCCCTTAAGCCTTGATTAAAGCTACAGTACATTGCCAGTGTTAGTGCAAGGTTTGAGGTTTCATCTGTTTACTTTTAATAAAAGGTCTGACATTAAACATTTGATTTAAAAGGAAGTCAAGTGAAAGAAATTAGATTTGCCACAGTGACACTACTGAAGGGAAGGATAGACACACAGGCGACAAAAGACTAAACAGGGGAACAAGCTGGAAGTGAGCTCTGAGTGTCCTATGTGTGATTGGTGTCCTCCTGTTCCTGATTCTGTGGCAGGGAGGGCAGGTCCAGACGGGCCCATGTGATTGGTTCAGCCTTCTTAAGAGACACCTCCATCTTAGAAGCCAACAGGTTCACCGCACTGTTTTTTTTACCTCCACAGCCTGATAGGATCAAGAAAAGGGATGGCGTTTTAGATTTTTAATTCTATTTTATATCGTTACTACCACTGGAGGGCGCCAAATGTGTAACTTTCCAAAAACATGTGCTGCTATATTAATATTAATCATTTAACAATAGTCAAAGTAAAATCAACAGTGATCATGCAATACAGCTTAATATTAAAGCACAAACAAAGTTTATAATGAAACACAAGGTGGTCACTTACCCCCCATAAAATGATCTTCTGTTCAAACTCTTTATCTCCTTCAAACATTACATGAATGTTCACCTGGGACAATCAGAGAATTACTTATTACCAACATTAGTCATAATTAGAGATATGATGGGGTGTATATGTGAGAGGTAGAACATGTCTTTGTGGTTTCTACCGTGGTGCTGTTGGCCTCGACATAACTGAGCTCTGGCAAGGAGTTCTTTGCATAGATGGAGATGATAACTTGACTGCCGGTCTGGTGCCAGTCAAATCTACATGGCATCACCGTCGTCCCCTGGAGATAGAGAGAGTCAGAGAAAGACAAGATGATGATCATCAGGAAACTATAACATTTGTTAACTTGAAAAATTTGCATTTCCTGCGAAAATGCAGTGTGGATGCTTTAAGCTGAAGCTGTCTGCAAAAACTAGCTGAAAAGTTGTACCTCTGGTGCAAATTACTGACCTCTGTCATCATTTTAAGTGGGGGAACTTGCACAATCGGTGGCTGACTAAATACTTTTTTGCCCCACTGTATGTGGATGCCAGGTCCTAGGAGGTTAAAGATGGGATATTTCCTTAGTGGGTGTTTTGATAATAGTGTTGCAGCTGATCGGATACCTACTAAGGCCACAGCACATGATCAACACTTACACTGTCAAAATTCATGGAGTCATTGTGCACCATCATTCCCCCTTTTGAGATCAAAGTCTCATTATAGGATAGGGGCCATCAAAATGTTATATTGATTTTAAGTTAGCCTTCCCTCACAGGGGCCAAGTCAAATAATAGAAGCAAAATATTCTATAGCAGCTATTTGCTGTTACAAAAAAAAAACAAAACACAAAAACAAACAGAAACCATCAACTTAGTCATTCAATTATTTATACAGAGCCACATCTGACCAAGAATAAATCAATTCTGTTGAAATTTCAAATTTGAATCATAGTTTTGAAAGAGGTGAACTATGTTCACCTATGATGCAGAAAAGAAATCATAATCATACAATCAGAAGAGAAGGTTTTCTACTTGATTTAGTGATTCAGCCTCGCTGATTGCTCCTGATCCACAGCAGACTGCAAAGCCATCACTGTCTCTGTGGATGAAACAAATGAATGTAAAGCACACCAAAGTAAATCCTTTCTTAATCCTTTGTCAGGCTATACATTTAATTTTGACAAAACAAGATGACTGTTTGGCATCTATGCATTTGTTTTGTTTTTTGTTTTGTTTTTTTAAAAATGCACTTAAAAAAATGAAAGAAAACAAAACATGAACTTGGCCGATGTAACCCACTGTCTCGTTTTTAAATCCTCAATACAAGCCATTTTCTCCATCACCATCTTGGTCTTTTAAAAATCAGATATCATGAAAAGGGCAGATTGGACCGTCAAACTGCATGCTCATTGGCAAACTACTTGAAACAATCCTCCATTTCTGACCATTACTTAATCATTTTTCTCCCAATCTCACCCTGAAAATAATGACTAAATACAGCAGGAAAGTGTTTAGAGAGGTCACATTTGGAAACTGTTTTTCTTTCTATAGTAACAAAATTCTTTTTACAAGCCCTAGGTATTGCCCCCTGGTGGCCATTAAAAAGAATAGAAATTTAAGACAGAGTCTACACCTTTATTTAACCCTTTGACTGCCTCACCAAGAAAAATACAATGAAAAAATTATTTGTTCATATTTTCTATTCCTTTAGGTCAATAATGATCACAATCCAAAAATTTTTTTTATACACACCTTATAGTTTTTTAAATATTACCCTCTACCAAACGGTTGAGATGTCACTCTATGGTACCACTACATAAAGTTCTACAGACATAACTAGTAGAAAAAAGTAAAGGTTATACTCATTTTGCAAAACAATAACTACCCAATTTTGTGTTTGACCCACTTTATTGTGGTAGTAAAACATCAAACATTGTTGGATTCCATTTCAACAGTGGGCGTTATAATAACAAACCACAAAATGTATAAAACACAAAAATATTGTAAATTTGATCAAAAACTTGATCTGCAATTACCAAAAATTCATAAACATACAAATTCACTTTTGACCTGTTGTTAACATAAACTTTTCACTGTAGTGTTGGAACAGCACTAACATTTTTTATTTTATTTTCCAGAAAATTCTGGTGGTATATTATTTACCATTGCCATTTTGCACTGAAAATTTTGAGAACACACTGAAACAGTTCTGGCTCTTTTCTTTTGCCGTTCAGGCAACTTTACCAATACCCCTTGATGATTAGATCTTCTGGTGGTACACGGCAAAGCATTCCTGACTGGCATTCAAGCACAAGAAAACATTGCATTATTGGCATTTCCATCTTGAGACGCCCTTTGGACAGTAATTGCATCGGCCTCGCTTGTCACAGTGAAGTGGCCAATGCCCAAAGCAGTCATATCGCACATCTCGCTGTGGTTGTGAGGGTCTTGGGGTGTATCCTTTCTTTGGTGGTGGTGGAGAGCTGGATGATGGTTGGCCAACTTTGGATGCTGGCTTGTTGACTTGTTTCAAGCTATGCGCAACTGCTAGGTGGAATCTTTTGAGTGTGATTGGTTTCTGGTTTAGTTGTCCACATTCCTTCTTGTAGACCAGCCAGGAATTTGCAATGGACAGATCAAGCATGTAACCAAAGAGTGGCAGGTACCATCTTGTAGACTTGGCTGGGGTCTTGTACAGGTGTACCAGCATGTCAGAGCGATCTATCCCTCCCATATGCTCATTGTATGCAGGGATGAGTGATGGGCATGGCATCATAACTTTCGCCTTGGACTCTTTGCTCCAGCAATCCAGGATTGCCAGAAAATCTTCAATTTCCTTAGGGCTAGTCTTGATTGTGTCCCCCAACTCTTGAGCAGAATACAGATTGGTATGATAGGCAATATGATCAATCATTTCATCAGTGAAGAGCATTTTGAAGTACTGGAATGGGGACTGTAGGGCGTCAGGGGTTTCAAAACTTGCATCTGGAACTTGAAATTCTTCAATGTCCTCATGCTTCCAGATTCTTCTTGTGTCTTTTTTTGGGACTAAAGAGGAAGATGGGTCTAATGTATCCTCTGCTTCATCCAAGGGAACTGTTTTTAGGATAGGTTTCCCTTTTTTGCTCATTTTACGCGAAAGTTTATTAGATCTACTTATTGAAGGAGCATCTTCATCCAGGGAAACATCAAAGCAGCTTTCATCACTATCATCTGCAAAATTGGGTTGAAAATCTGGATCCTCTATTGGGTCATCATCACTCAGTTCACCATCGGAGTCCTGAGAATTTTCAGGTACAAGGGCCAGGCAGGTGCGTTGTCTTGCTCCATAAAAGGATTTGCAATCCATCTAATAAACATTAAAAAAAATAAAATTGTAGAAATATAGTTGGTTTGATTTCCATGTGTCATTTAAAACTGTACTCTAAAAAATAATCACAGAAAGTGAGTAAATCTTTAAACATTAGAACATTTTGTAACATACAGTATTTGTCATGGAAAAATTTAAACATGTCATATTTACATGTATAGATCATTAAATTATTTATATTCAATAGTAAATAGTCAATTTCATATGTTAAAACAACAGTTCTAAACATTAGCTAAGTTTTGCTACTCTTACCATCAATTGACAAATCAACCGTTTGGTTGAGCATGTTTTTAAAAAAATATTATGGATTTATTACAGCTATTTTCTGGTATCAAATGACATAATCATGTTCAGTAAAGACTCTGACATGTTTATACAACACGTTCTCACTCCCAACTCGTCAAACGTGTGAGGCATGGTCAGGCTCCCTCTGCTTCAGTGATGGACGCGTAGGGTACCCCCCTCGCGTCGGGAATTGACGTGACGGGTCCTCCGATTGAAGAGATTGCCTGTTGTCGGCAGTGGCGTGTCCAGCGGGGTGGCCTGGGGGGGCACAGGCCACCCCCCCAACCAGACTGGCCACCCCAGGTGCCACCCCAAAGGCAAAACAATAAAATTCAATCAAATATCAAATGTCCGATTATGTTTTCACGGTGAAGCTCAGATATCCGAGTGTAAGTGAATGCAGCATCGGCTTCTGCGCTATGTGCATCACGTTAGCAAAGGTAGGAGAGCCAAGCACGAAAGACGGCACTGCAGGAAACAATTTTTCGGTGAAAGAAAATGAGGACAGAATAAATGTCCCGGTAAGTAATATTAAGTTTGTTGAGTTTAGTAAACTTCGGTGAAATTAGAATACCAAGGAAAAAATAACACTTAAAGAATCTCTCTC